CCAAAAATAATGAAACACATTCAAAACTGTGTGTGATAATAGGCTCAAGTTTTTGATACGCGGTAGTAGGTACCTTTTGGAGCCGCAGACGATGCTAAGTAGGTTCATATATTTTTACTTTCGGGGGTTGGGGTTATGCGGGTGAGGGAAGGTGGGCGTCGACTTTCATACGCCCAACCCTGCTTTGCGTCTGACAGCATCGCCGGCAGGGCACAGTGATGTTATAGTATCGTGGCCGGCGTTTATGACGTATTTGACTGGATTGATACAGCAGCATTGCCAGATGGTCGATACTTAGGGCAGGAAAGAAACTACCATTAGCTTTATCAAATGGATGGTGACTAAGGAAGTATATACTAATTTTATATGGGATAGTTTGGCTGACTTGACCCATTTATTTTTTGTTATATATGTTTGTAGCTAACTCAAAGGGACTAACTTGGGACGAACATAATCCTTTATGACCTGATGACAGCATTGCGTGGGAAGTGCAGGGTCAACCTACTTGACGCTATTTTGATATACATGCTAATTGCACCAAAAACGTACACATTTGTTGCGTATAAAATTAGTATTTTTCTATTATGGCAGCATAAAACAGAGGTAATCTCCTCTTCCGTGAGTAATTGAAAATTCAGCAACTTGACTGTGTCCTGTGTGACCTCGCAAAATGTACGAAAATATAGAACAAAATATCCTGTGGCTGCAAGAGGTACTTTACACGGGAATCGGAAACTTGATCATCACAAACGAACATTTTTGTTCGTTTTCGTTACTTTTCAAAGAAGGAAAACTGATACAGTTGGAAATGTTTAACTGTAAAATATTCAGTAATACAATACAATTCATCAAGGAATTATATGAAAAGATTGAATCATTACAAAAGCAAATTGAAGATACAACGAAAATGACAAAGCCATGTAAATCTTATGCAGATATGGCCAAAAACAGGACAGCAACATTCATTTGTTAACTTAATACCACAAATACAAGCGGGTGTTCTAGAGCAGTCCCTATCTTTTAGTGATGTGAAAAATGGACGAAATATTGATCCAAGTGAAGAACCAACAATGGCATTTAAGAAATCCAATAATATTAACAATGTGGTTGTTTCTCTACCTGAATCACAAAATACAATTGTTATAAAACCAGTTACTGGAAATCAAAATTGCCTTCAAACAAAGAAAGTATTGAGCAAATATATTAACCCCGCCAAAATGAATGTTTCTATAACAAAAATCACCGATTTGAAAGATGGAGCTGTGAAAATTGTATGTAAGAATAATGAAGATATCTCCAAATTGAAAATAGAAGTGGAAAAAAACATTGGACAAAATTATGAAGTTAACGTGGGTCGAAAGAAATTACCTATGATTAAAGTCGTATGTTTTAGTGAAGCAATGGGTAAAGAAGAACTGATTAAGGACATAAAAGAAAGAAACAGTTATTAGATCTAGAGTGGTGATTATTAAAAAAAATGAAACAACGATATTAGGCTATCTTGGGACTAGTTGAGACTACATTTAGTGAAAAAGTTTTTGAAGAAATTATTTACGAACATATCGAATTTATTGAGGGAAATTACATTTTAACCAAATTTCAAGCTAGATTCAGGAAGAAACACTCAACTAAAACGGCAACACAAATGGTTTTAGAGGACTGGAGGAGATGTATGGACAATCGGAAACATACTTTAACAGTGTTTTTGGACTTCAAAAGGGCGTTTGAGACTATTGACAGGGATAGATTACTTATAAAATTGCATCACTACGGATTTAGAGGATCTGTATTCAAAATTCTATAAAACAATTCAATTGACAGAAGTCAAAAAACCAAAATTGGATCTACATTGTCAAGATCAAAAAATATTTCTGTTGGTATACCACAAGGTAGTAAACTAGGTCCACTACTATTTATTTTATACATTAATGACATTTGTAATATTTTAGATTATTGTAAACTTTAGATATTTGCAGATGATACATTAATATTCATATCAGATGAAAATATAGACACTGCTTTAAAAATGCTAAATTCTGACTTGGCAAAAATCATAAATTGGTTAAATGTAAATAAACTAAAATTGATTATTTCTAAAACAAAATGTATGCTAATAGGGAAATACCTAAATGAAAATACTATCACAGTTAGGATAAATGGAGAAATAATTGAAAATGTTGAATCAATTATATATTTAGGTATATATATATTGATAGTAAACTAAATTTTGAGGATCACTATTTCAAAAATTGCCAAAAAAACAAATTACTTTTATAGGGCTTCTCATAGTCTTGGTAAGTACACAAAAATAAAATTTATGTTACAAGAATTGCAGTGGTTTAATATAATAAATTTCATATCATATTTGGTTCTTATTTTTATATTTAAAATGAAAAATCATCTTTTGCCAGAACATTTAGAACACTACATAGAATTGAATAATCATTACCACAATTATTATACAACAGGAAATATAGATTTAAATTTACAAAATTGCAATAGTAACATAACTAGCAAATCAATATTTCAGAAAGGATTACTTGAAATTAATCAACTAAATAATGATATAAAGTCTACTTGTAATTTAAAGATATTTAAAAGAAAATTAAAGGAATATTTCATGGACAATGAAAATTCTTAGAGGTGCAAATTTTGTTTTTTTTCTAAATATCTGTGTTATGTAATTGTTTAGTTTTTTAGAAGAATGAATTGTAGCAATCATGCTAAATAAATCTTAAACAAACAAACACATACTTCCATAGTCTACGCCATTTGATCACAATAAAAGAACACATAATATTAGTTTTATCTTGCTTAATTAAGGGAAAAAAGAGAAAACCAGAACGACTTGCGGATTCGAACCTGTGCCATATACACCAGCAGCCCCTTCCCTTCAACTACACTACGAAGCATCTTGGTCTATCTGATCTTTAAATGGCTATGTATGACACTGACAAATCTAAATGAACCTGAACGAGAACATCAAATCTGTTATAAACCATAAAATATTCCTAGAAATTCGGAAAGATACAAAGCTAAATGAAACTATGAATAATATATTCAGCAGTAATATTAATACTTTAGCCTAATTGTTCAGATGGTTTGTTCGCTACAACCGGTTGGTATTTGTATTTTGTGTTTTCGTTTTCTCGAGTTTGTTTTTCAACACTTTGGACACAACTGTTTTAATGGTATGAGGTTCGGAAACAAGCGAATCATATTTTTTAAAAACGAAACTGAATTACGAAATGCAGCCATCATTTTCATCACATACCGCATACTAACTGAGCTGAGACAGTTTTAAATATAACTATGTCTTAAGTTTGCGTGCTAACTTTTTAAGTAATTTAGAGCGTTTCAGTATGATTTTTTTTTATAAATCTTAACGCTCATCTTTGATCATGTGAAAATTTCTGCTCTAAATATTTATACAACATGAAGAAATTTTGAATAACTTTTGCAACAGAAAGTCGTAGATACAACCGCTTTGTGTTAAAATGTGTACAATAATGTATGTTTTTCGAATATCATAACATTAAAGTTCGATTCCTCACAGGGACAAAATGTTTCAATTTTTTATCATCGCTTTACCAAAAAGTGTCAAAATCTGCATTTTGACTAGGTTTCAGTCGATAACTTATTTGCATTTAATCGGATCTTTTTATGTGTAGTGTCATCTTGTAGGTCTCTTAAGTACATAAAAACTTACTTGAAGAGTTTTTCGTTCATGCCAACACCTTTAATTGAATAAAAAAAAATACGTTTTCTTTATTTGTTGTTGAATGAAAGTTTGCTAATATAATTCCGCTATAGTACCTCACATACAGATTTTTCTCATCTCAACATTTTATTGCAGTCATATCGAGACAAATAAATGAAAAACCCGCAGAAGAGTGATTCTTGTACGTGGGAAAAAATACTCTTATACTAACGACAACAAAACACGATATGGTTTTCTTTATTCAAATGTATAATATGAGTTTCAATTCTGGTAAAATGGCATATATGGGAATATTTTCTAGTCCGTTTTTTTTATTTACTCTGGTATCTTTAGCTCTCAATTCGGGTGAAAGTTACATATTCGGGAATATTGTCTAATATAGTTTTTTTGTTTACTTTGGCATTCCAATCATTTTTTAGATCAATAAGATGGTGTGTAGTCATTATCCATTGTTTTACGTTCTACGTAAATAGTCCAAGTAAGCAGAAATATGTAGGCCCTTTGTCTGGTTTTGAGACTTGTACAAGATTTTTTTCCGTGCGTCATAATTATGCTTCACCGTTTTCATGTTATTTCTGCCAGTATGATCATTTACCAGTATTGTGTATAGTTGACGAGTATCAAAAATATTTGATTCTTGGAACAATAACTCTCTTGGATATAACGTTGGCATCTTAAACACCGTATTTATAATGAATATGCTTAGAATATGCGTGATATTTGCAGCTTCCTAGGCAATAATACCGTAGCTGAGATGACTTTGAGCTAGGCTTTAATATAAGGTACCGAGCTGTGGAATATCCAACAATTTACTGAAATATCTGATATTGCATAGTATTGTGCGCAACTTTCCTATGATAATGCGTCAATATATATTCCAAGACTCTTTATTCTTTGCACCGCTGAATTTGGTGTTGTCCACTGTTATATTTAAAGCTTTGTAAATAGGAAAGTTGTTGGTGTAAGAAGAGAAGGAGATTAACTTAGTTTTACTGAAGTTAAATGTCAGTTTCCGACTATCAAACCATTGCTTGATTTCCACAAAATCTCGTTCCAGAAGCGATTTTGTTTCATCCCAAATAGTGGTGAGAATAAGGATTAGGGATTATATATCAACTCCTTTTTTCAAAAGACATGGTTTTCTGTTACCGTATGTAGTCGTCATTAGTACCACGATTGGCGACCCACTCATAGGTGCTACTTTTTATCTTTAGCACACTACAATAATAGTAGACCCATATTCTCTTGAACTGATTGTTTTGTTGTTTTATCTACATACCTTGACTTCTGTTTTCACCTCACTAGCGACGATCTCGACATCGTTGACACACTCTACCGTATCCAAAATAATCGGTGGTGGTACAGCACTAGTTTCCTTCGGCGGGGTAATCCGTAACGATTCCGGTTCCTTTTTGATTTCGACGATGTTGCCACTGTTACTGCCAGAGGTAGCAGTCGAAATTAGAGCTGGTGGTTGTTGTTGTTGTGCTGGCTGTTGCTGCTGCTGAAGAGAAGCAAATCTTTATAACGGTCTGACTATGGAATACAAATGTAAACATTTTATGAACGAGAAACATTTCTGGCTTGAGCGACGGTCTCGTAGACTCGGGTAGCTTAAACGCCACCTATCGAGAAATTGAGCAACGGCCTGTTGCTCTCGACAAACTGAGATGCATGGAAGTTTGAAATTTTGCAAGCAGCTTAGTTCAAGCATTATACAAGCTATGTGTAAGATACAACCGTTGTGAGTCAATTTGTATGTGTAAGGACAAGTTATTTTCTAAAATAAATTATAATATAATAAAATAAGCTATGACAACTATTTACTTAAGAGGTGTAAATTTGATTCTAACTCTATCATCCCCTTTAAAGACGATCCTAGCCCCGTGCTGATGATAGTTTTTTAAAATACATTATTACAGGATATACAGTTTCAATTATACACGTCTTTTGTAAAACGCATTATATTCAGAAACCAGCTTTTTCGTCAATGAAATTTGTCATGTTTTATATTCTGGCTCCCGAGTTTTAAATGTCGACGATGAATATAGGGTAAATTTGTTACAAGTTTGAGGCAGAAAGTCAACAAAATTGCTTAGTTAGGTTTAGAAATCAATTACGACATACTTTGCATAATCGAAAATTGATTTTTAAACGATGAACTCAATTATATCCGCATAAAGGGTTATCAAGCGATTTCTGATTTTAGTAGAGTGACAAGAAAGGATGGCTGTCATTCATACTAACGCAGACCTATATGTGCATCTTTTACCATCTTCCATTTTCAGGAAGGCGGAAGAGAAAATATTTGAAGTATCAGGCATATGTCTCAACAAAGTCAAAATCCTTACCATATACAGATATTCACCGGGTGACTTCAGTGGTTTTATAAATAAGCTATCTATCACGCTGGACCAGCTAGAATATGTGAAACGTGTTGTGGTAACTGGAGACTTTAATGTTAAATTTGTTACAGATGATAACCGAGCCATTCAAGTTGCTAATATTTTCAACTGTTTCGGATTGCATCATGTAGTCAAAGAGGTCCTGGGGTTTTAATTGCTTAGACAATATATTTACCACCATCCACGAGAGCGACATACTTAGGGCTAATGTAATTAAAGCTTATCTGTCAGATCACATGAGTCTAAGTAGTTATAGAAGTCACTTATCGACCAATAACTGAAGATGGACTTTTTTTCTTTATAACAGTTAGGATGTTTTGACTGGCATTTTTTAAACGATGAACATGTGGATATTGAGTCTACCACAAAAAACTCGAGTCTTCCAAGCAAATTGCAGCAACGATAAAGTACAATGATTTAATGACAATCTAGTTCGATGAGGGAAAAATTAAGATTCTTGGTGGAACTGCACAAAACTGATGCATCTGTCGTAACAAAAACAGAAACAAACAGTCTAAAAGCTTAACATAGAGAAGCCAGCATTAAACGTGAACTGGACGTAAATGATAGGTATGTGAATACAGCTAGTAATAAGCATCAGGCAATGTGAAACATCATAAAAGCAAATGTCCCCAGTGCTGGAACGAACACGGCTACAACTTTAAATGCAAGCCAATTTAATACGTATTTCTCAAACATTGCTCAAAATTTTATAGTAAAACCTAGGTCGCAAAATGCATCTCCTTTAATACACCTAGACGATCCCAGTAATGATCTTGACTTTGTTTTCCGCGAAGTTACCATCAACGAAGTAAGAGATCGTCTCAAGAAGATTATATGAAAAATTAAATCTAATCAAAATAAGAGTGAGATTTTGTCTAAAAGTGTGCTTAATGAATGTTTTGATATTATTGGAGCAATAATATTAATACTGATAAATTACTGCTTAAAATATGTCAAATTTCCAACAAAACTGAAGTGTGCTACCATAACTCCTGTTTCTTAAGTTAATAATTCTGAGTTGTACACCAATATGCGGCCAATAAATGTTCTGCCAGATGTTGAAAAAGTTTTTGAAGAAATTATTTACGAACATATCGAATTTATTGAGGGAAATTACATTTTAACCAAATTTCAAGCTAGATTCAGGAAGAAACACTCAACTAAAACGGCAACACAAATGGTTTTAGAGGACTGGAGGAGATGTATGGACAATCAACAAAGTCAACAAAATTGCTTAGTTAGGTTTAGAAATCAATTACGACATACTTTGCATAATCGAAAATTGATTTTTAAACGATGAACTCAATTATATCCGCATAAAGGGTTATCAAGCGATTTCTGATTTTAGTAGAGTGACAAGAAAGCCTGGCTGTCATTCATGCTAACGCAGACCTATAGGTGCATCTTTTACCATCTTCCATTTTCAGGAAGGCGGAAGACAAAATATTTGCAGTATCAGGCATATGTCTCAACAAAGTCAAAATCCTTACCATATACAGATATCCACCGGGTGACTTCAGTGGTTTTATAAATAAGCTATCTATCACGCTGGACCAGCTAGAATATGTGAAACGTGTTGTGGTAACTGGAGACTTTAATGTTAAATTTGTTACAGATGATAACCGAGCTAATATTTTCAACTGTTTCGGATTGCATCATGTGGTCAAAGAGGTCCTGGGGTTTTAATTGCTTAGACAATATATTTACCACCATCCACGAGAGCGACATACTTAGGGCTAATGTAATTAAAGCTTATCTGTCAGATCACATGAGTCTAAGTAGTTATAGAAGTCACTTATCGGCCAATAACTGAAGATGGACTTTTTTTCTTTATAACAGTTAGGATGTTTTGACTGGCATTTTTTAAACGATGAACATGTGGATATTGAGTCTACCACAAAAAACTCGAGTCTTCCAAGCAAATTGCAGCAACGATAAAGTACAATGATTTAATGACAATCTAGTTCGATGAGGGAAAAATTAAGATTCTTGGTGGAACTGCACAAAACTGATGCATCTGTCGTAACAAAAACAGAAACAAACAGTCTAAAAGCTTAACATAGAGAAGCCAGCATTAAACGTGAACTGGACGTAAATGATAGGTATGTGAATTTGTGAATACAGCTAGTAATAAGCATCAGGCAATGTGAAACATCATAAAAGCAAATGTCGACAGTGCTGGAACGAACACGGCTACAACTTTAAATGCAAGCTAATTTAATACGTATTTCTCAAACATTGCTCAAAATTTTATAGTAAAACCTAGGTCGCAAAATGCATCTCCTTTAATACACCTAGACGATCCCAGTAATGATCTTGACTTTGTTTTCCGCGAAGTTACCATCAACGAAGTAAGAGATCGTCTCAAGAAGATTATATGAAAAATTAAATCTAATCAAAATAAGAGTGAGATTTTGTCTAAAAGTGTGCTTAATGAATGTTTTGATATTATTGGAGCAATAATATTAATACTGATAAATTATTGCTTAAAATATGTCAAATTTCCAACAAAACTGAAGTGTGCTACCATAACTCCTGTTTCTTAAGTTAATAATTCTGAGTTGTACACCAATATGCGGCCAATAAATGTTCTGCCAGATGTTGAAAAAGTTTTTGAAGAAATTATTTACGAACATATCGAATTTATTGAGGGAAATTACATTTTAACCAAATTTCAAGCTAGATTCAGGAAGAAACACTCAACTAAAACGGCAACACAAATGGTTTTAGAGGACTGGAGGAGATGTATGGACAATCAACAAAGTCAACAAAATTGCTTAGTTAGGTTTAGAAATCAATTACGACATACTTTGCATAATCGAAAATTGATTTTTAAACGATGAACTCAATTATATCCGCATAAAGGGTTATCAAGCGATTTCTGATTTTAGTAGAGTGACAAGAAAGCCTGGCTGTCATTCATGCTAACGCAGACCTATAGGTGCATCTTTTACCATCTTCCATTTTCAGGAAGGCGGAAGACAAAATATTTGCAGTATCAGGCATATGTCTCAACAAAGTTAAAATCCTTACCATATACAGATATCCACCGGGTGACTTCAGTGGTTTTATAAATAAGCTATCTATCACGCTGGACCAGCTAGAATATGTGAAACGTGTTGTGGTAACTGGAGACTTTAATGTTAAATTTGTTACAGATGATAACCGAGCTAATATTTTCAACTGTTTCGGATTGCATCATGTGGTCAAAGAGGTCCTGGGGTTTTAATTGCTTAGACAATATATTTACCATCATCCACGAGAGCGACATACTTAGGGCTAATGTAATTAAAGCTTATCTGTCAGATCACATGAGCCTAAGTAGTTATAGAAGTCACTTATCGACCAATAACTGAAGATGGACTTTTTTTCTTTATAACAGTTAGGATGTTTTGACTGGCATTTTTTAAACGATGAACATGTGGATATTGAGTCTACCACAAAAAACTCGAGTCTTCCAAGCAAATTGCAGCAACGATAAAGTACAATGATTTAATGACAATCTAGTTCGATGAGGGGAAAATTAAGATTCTTGGTGGAACTGCACAAAACTGAAGCATCTGTCGTAACAAAAACAGAAACAAACAGTCTAAAAGCTTAACATAGAGAAGCCAGCATTAAACGTGAACTGGACGTAAACGATAGGTATGTGAATACAGCTAGTAATAAGCATCAGGCAATGTGAAACATCATAAAAGCAAATGTCGCCAGTGCTGGAACGAACACGGCTACAACTTTAAATGCAAGCCAATTTAATACGTATTTCTCAAACATTGCTCAAAATTTTATAGTAAAACCTAGGCCGCAAAATGCATCTCCTTTAATACACCTAGACGATCCCAGTAATGATCTTGACTTTGTTTTCCGCGAAGTTACCATCAACGAAGTAAGAGATGCGATTTGCTCATTGGAAAAGTCTAAAAGTACTGACATCTATAGCTTCAATAGCAAGATTATAATTTATCCCCCAACAAAATCAAATACTGTTCTTGCTGACCTTAAGGTAGCGAAAGAGGTCAATTTTCAAACGTGGATCAGCTGATGAAATATCGAACCACAATCTCAATCGTCCCTTATTTCCCAAAAACTCCTGAAATTCACCTGAAAGATCAATGAAGTCATTATCTGAAATCAAACATTTTTTTAAACTCTTGTCAATATGGATTCAGGCACAGTTTATATCTGTTATAAATAACTTCATCGATATAGTTTATGTTTTGAGAATAAAAAATTTATAGACGTTAATTTTTTTGACTTAAATAAATCCTTTGACTGTGTACAACACATTTTTCTCTCGAAGTTACCATTTTACTCCTTTGATCCAACTAGCATACTGCTCTTGGAATCCTACCTTGAAATACAATGGCTGCAAATCCTCAATCAGACCAGTGTGCATGGTGTTCCACAAGGTTCTGCCCTCGGCCCTCTGTTGTATGTAATTGACTTGCCCAATTGCCTTTCCAACACTAATAACAAGCTAATTTTATACGCCGATGACATCCCTCTTGTTTCGACTCACGATTTCCTTACCAACTTGGATAATCTGACTCCTACTTGTAAGTCTGACGTCCATGAATGGCTTGTAATCACCAGTTAAAGTAAATTCAAACGAAACACAATCCATGACCATTACTCTACAGAATCATGATGTTGGTAATAACCATGTGTAGAGAGTTGTTTCTTGACATATACAAATACATAAATGCTACTTTAAACTGGGATAAATACATTAGTTATGTTAACAAATCATTAACAAACATTATTTATTTAATTAGTAAACTGAAAAATTCTGTATCCCAGAAAATCTTGTTATCCAGTTACCACGCTTACTTTCATAGTAAGCATGTCACATGCTATCCTAGCATGGGGTCACTCACCAAACATGTCTAGAGTGTTTGCTCTACAGAAGAGGTGTGTTAGCTACATAGTAAGCCTGAAGTACAGAGATCCCTGTAGAGAATAATTTATAAAACTAACAATCATGACCTTGCCTGGTGCTTACATTTATTACTGCCTCATTTATGTCAAGACTGACTCTCTCCCAACCCAACAACAAATTAATTCATACAATACTCGAAATGAGTCAAACTACTACATAGAACATCACAGAATCACTAAAACCTGAAATGGCGTTAACTATTTTGGCTTAAAACGTTTTAATGCCTTACCTCATCAGAGTTATTAGTTATTGACGATTTTAGTGAGTTTATGAAGAGTTTTCTTTTATCAAGAGCATTCTTTGGAATCCATGAATTTATATCTTACGACTTCTCTTTCACATCACGTGCCTTAACACCAATAAATGTTTATTATTATTATTCGATACTACAATCTTTGCAAATATATTGAAATCTCTTCAAAAACAAAACAATTACATTATGTCAATTTTTTATTAAATTAGCTGTAAAATTGACTTTCAGAACTCAGTGTTTACAAAGACACAAGGAGTATTAAGTTCTCATGTATTATTTCTGCCAGTCAGGTTTAAAAAAATGAATTGAAAAAGTGGTCATACCTGTTGTTGCTTCGGTGCAGCAGGAGCCAGCCTAGGAACCTTTTTGCTCGATGGATCAAACTTGTTCAGATTCATGATGCCAGATAGTTCGGACAGAGGTATACAGAATGGTCGTTTGTTTCCATAGAGAGTATAATAGAGATCGACAAAATCACACCGTAATCGGGAATCATGGGACAGCATGCCACTGTACAGAACAAGTTGGAATTAGACACTCTTTGTCCATAATATAATAGCTCAATCAAGAATTACCCGAGTACTTCAATTATATTCGGTTCTTTCCACCAGTGAATTTCTGACAATACCGAACGGTAATTGCCAGTGGAAGAGATCAGTTCAGCGCGTAGCTAGGCCACATCATAGCATTACGTGTTATGCGTGGCTGTATTTGACAGTCTCTGATAGTTAATCTATAGTGTATGGTCTCTGATAGTCAGAAATTTCTTGTTGTAAAGAACCAATTGAGTTGTTTTTACCCAATTTACTAACAAAAACAACAATGTAAAAAAATGTAGAGGTATTTCTCCACAACTTGTGGATACCCTAATAATGTAAATAAATTACACATTTCACAAAAATTAATGGAGCAGGGATAATTCCCAGAATTCTGCTTATTTTTGAAGGGCTGTAAATACGTTAAAATGGTCAAAGAATACATTTTGAAGCTCCGCGATTTTATTTTTTACATCTTTCAAGCCAAACATTTTTCATTCTAGATTCTCAGACAACCCTAAGGGAAAGGGCGAAGAAACATTGCATTTTTTATGTTTACGGATTTGGAATTTTTCCAGCCTTACCATCTCATTAATCCAGCTTCAATTCTCTTTTTTTAACTTTGCTATACAGTATCTCGGCAAAAATTTGGAAACTGTTCTTGCCCCCTTGATGTTTGCGAAAATTGTATTTTTAAGGGCATGATATCGGTATTGCACGAAAAGTGAATTTGTGGTCAATATTTAGTACGTACGAGTAAAGCTAATCTCTCAAAAACAATGTTAAAAAGGGCGTATCTTATACGTTTTACTTCCCATGACAACAGGCGAGAGAAGTACCACGATCACAAAAAATTTCAAGATCGGGGCATTGAAAAGCACCGTTCGAATTTTAATGAAACTTTGATTCAAGATTCCTATTGTACCAAGAACGAGAGAGCTTGGCAGTTTTTCAGAATCGGCCCAATATGGGTGAAATAATAATCACGAAATTAATAATTTCTGACCCCTACATAACTACAAAAAGTTATTCTGACTTAAGGTAACTTGTAGGTTTTACAATTAATCCAGAAGCAGATAACTAAAAATTTGTTACCTCGTTTCTGAGATCAATTTGGTAGTGACCGAGTTATGAGCAAATAATAAAAAATCTCAGAATCGCCCTCGTTATTCATTTTTGTATGCTTCTTGACTGGCTAACGTGTTTTGCTCATTCCAACAAACTGAAACAGTACCAAACTGACGAATTTCAGAATACAAAAAAGTATCGTGCATCAAGTCAATCATCAAAAAATTGAAGGGCACACAACTGACGTTTGTCATCATGGGTATAACTTTGGTGAAGTCTATGGCCACTGTAATGTCCCTCGTTCGAACTTGCCCTTGTTCAGGGTGGCCAACATAACTTGACCATCCTCTTATCTCTCAAACCAATTGGCATTTCAGGCATTTTAGGAAAATATGTATTTTTCTTGGTTTTTATTAGCAATAAATTCATAAAATATGCTTGCATTAAACAAAGTTCCCTTTCAAAAATTAATCAGACTCCAAAAATAACTTCTCCACCCGTAGCACAACCATACTGATTTTAAGTCAAATTAGCCAACATCGTGTCGGGAGTAAACAACTGGTTCAGCCAGTGGTGAAACTAGGTAGCATTGTTATGCTGATGGTCATATACACATAATCTTTTATTCGTCTTTGTAATTATACAAAAAGTGTAATATTTTATTTGACTTGTCCTATGCCTATACATGTTACACAAAAAGCATAAACATAAGTAAAAATATTGAAATAACTCTATGATATAGGGTTTTCGAATGTAGGAAGTAAAGTGAGTTGCTATAAGACGTATAGAAGTTAAAATCAAAATAACAAATTAAAATATATATAAACACAATATCGGTTGTTTCAAAACACATTAAAATATATGAGATAAAGTATCGTTGAGTTTATGAACATTACTATCAAATTCTAAAACCTAATAAATAATGTAAATAAATTCAAATGCTGGATATTTTTTAATTTTTACAATGAATATAAATGCAGCGTGTTAGATAAAATGCCGCGCAGGCAGAAGCCTAAATACTAGGAGACCGCGGCTGCCAGGAGGATCCCAAAGAAACCTTGTTTTCCTATTTTTGAACTGACTAAGGTTAGTAGAACTGACAAAAGCCTCCTCATGTAGATTGTTCCACAATCTTGACAACAAAGGTAGGTTCAAAGGAGTGGTCGTATCGGCTAGTTCTGGATGTACGAAGTTCGACTCGGTTAAGATGGCAGGCTGAAATGAACGGCTTTCTGGCAAAACTGAGCTATCCATCGAGACACCGGATGAGCCCGACGACGCTTTTTGTTTGTCAAGGTACAGTATTATGTTTTGGTAGCATTAAGCTGTACAAGATTGTTGCGTCCCCAAGCAATGACAACCTCCAAGTCTCTCCTCAGAGAGGAATTTCCTGCTGGTCTTCTTTTTTCCAGATCACCGGCAGAGTCGCTCTGAATCCCTGTATGTAGAGGGCTGTCATCAGCAAAGCTGTGGATTGGATTGATCGTGCATTAAAGAAGGTCGTTGATATGTAAGAGAAACAGTATTGGGGCCAAGACCGATCGCTGTGGAACATTCGCGTTGAAGTTAGTAGAACCCGTCAATTACGATGGATATCTTGCGGTCAGAGAGAAAGTCAGACACTCATCTGTATATAAGAGGACAGGATGCCACTGCTGACGCGTTGACGTTAGTAGAACCCGTCAATTACGATGGATATCTTGCGGTCAGAGAGAAAGTCAGACACTCATCTGTAAAGCTTCTCTGGGAGGCCATAGGATGGAACTTTGCATAAGAGGGCAGAATGCCGCTGTTATCGAATGCTTTCGTGATATCACGAGCAACGACATGAACCACATTATAAGATTGGATGAGTTTAGTCTACAATTGCGTGACGTAAGGTAGGAGGTCCCCTGTGGATTGCTGGTGCCGAAATCCATACTGCCTGTCGCTAATCAAGCCGTCACGTTCGAGGTAGTCAAGAAGCTCGCGATTTATACATCTCTCCATCACCTTACTTATAACAGAAAGCAGAGCTATAGGTCTGTAGTTGTAAGGGTCGGTCTTAGATCTCTTTTTTGGGATGGATTGGATATGAGAAAATTTCCAATTTTCTGGGAACGTGCCGGATTCGTATGATATCTGGAAGACTCGAAAGAACTGGAGCAAGCTCCGCTGCACACCACTTCAATAGAACGGCATCCGGACCAGATGATTTGTTGATGTCGAGCAACAAGAGCACCCATCTTACGGTCTTATGCCTGAATTTTACTTCCCTTTGAATTAACGGCACTCGGGCGTTAGGAGTGGAGTTGTCAGCAAATATCCTGGCAAGCACTTTCGTCTTAGCATTTGAGTCAGTTACAATCGTTCCATCCGGATACGTAAGTGTTGGAAGGCTACTCTGTGAGAAGTTACTTTTAATCTGCTGGCCAGCGTCCGGAAAGACCGACTTCCATTGCGCTGCGACATTACCCTGTCCCTAACTTTTATATCGTGCTGGTCTTTGGCATTACGGACTGCTTCGTTATATTTGTTTCTGGAATCGACGTCAGCTTGTCTGTTCTCCACAGTGAGGTTTTGTAAGAAGGTTCGGTGTGCCTTGATCTTGTGCTGTCGAGCAGTGTTGTAAGATTTATTGAACCAGTCGGACCCTGTTTAGACACTTTCACTGTATGAGGGATGTATTCCTGCATCCCAACGCGGCTAATTTTGATTATCGATGAACAGACAGCCGACGCATCCACGTCAGCGAAACAAACATCTCTCCAAGGAAAAGTGAAGAAGAAGTCTCTGAGCCCCTCCAGTCGGCATGTCCGTAATGCCAAATTTTGCGGCATGGTCGAGTTTCTGCTGTCACAGCGGGTTCTGACCGAAACCTAACCTCCACAACACCGTGGTCTGAGTTACCCATGGGAGACAGGACAGCAGTGCTGTAAGGGACAAGATGCGTGGTTAGAAAGAGCAGGCCAGTGGTGTGTGACGAAACGCGGGAAAACAGTAGGGCCTCGTCAACAGATGTGTCAGTACTTGGGTAATATCGTACGTTTCAACTGCACGACCTGCTGCATCGGTGTTGTTTGAGCCAACCACAGTTCATTATGGGCATTGAAATCACCGATCAGAACTATCTCTGAGGCGAGGTGATTGATGTTCAGGAAGTCGATCTTGACAGCGAGGTATTCAAGCAGGTCATCCTTATGGTCCGAGGGAGAGCGATAAAGGTAGCAAATAAATTTGGGGGATGTTTTGAGGCGAAGTCACAGAATGTCCTTCCGATCTGATTCCGAAGAAACATTTCTGGAGCAGATAAGACTGCTGCGGACAAAAGCCGCATTTCCTCTGTTTTTTCTTTCAGATTGCAGTGCACCTCGTAATTTGGGATGCTAAGGTGGTTAATCTGTGCAGCATCTGAGATTTTTGTCTCCGGCAAGAAAAGCATGGCGGGACGATTGGATTGCAAGTAGTGATGAGGTAGCATCAATGTTGCTGTTAATCCCGCAGATGTTCGTGAAACAAATTTTATCTTCGATGTTGTTCCCTCGAGTCCACCCTCTACCCGGACATTCCGAGAGTGGAGTGAGTTTACGTCCGGAATTCTTAGAACTCGAGGGATCCATCATCATTAATTTCTTTGTTGTGAAAAGCTAGCGGGTGGTACCGCCTCGGTCGACTGGCCCCTGTCTACCACCTTCTTTTGGCGTGTTAATGATATTGAATAGACCTAAACTGACCAGTTGGCGGACCAATTATTTACTCTCGACATGATTTTGGCTAATTCGACTTAAAATCAAAATGGTTGTGCCACGGTTGTAAGAGTAAGACAAATTTTTGGAGTCATTTTAGTTTTTGAGAGGAAAACTTAACGTAAGTAAATTTTACAACTTTATTGAAAATAAAACCTAAGAAAAATACACATATTTACCTAAAACAGGCTGGTATTATTGAATTGCTAATTATGAATATCCGAAGTGGATATGCCAAATGAAAAGATTATATAAAAATATGTAGAGCATTCCATTTTTTAAATTTTGTTCAAGTTTGGAAGTCAATTTTGAACTGAGATATATAAAATGTGATGTATCTTAGAAACCAAACAAAGTACCCTCACCAACATGAAAATAAAATATATTTCAAATTGTATGTAGAATCCGAAAATGTACAAATGTATAGGGGGTGTTATTTGAAAAAAATGATGATGATCACTTTGGAATAACTGCAAAAATACACTAAAAGAAACTTCGATTTAAGCCAAGATGTATACTCACTGGTTTCTGAGATAAACTGATTGATCAAGTTGGTCACCCTTTACCCACTCAGGCCGTAGTTGAATTGATCGACTGGGTACGATCTTGTACGAGAAAGCAAACAAGGCATTTTATAGGAGAGTACAAATGACCAAAATGACAAAATAACATAATTTCAAATATCTTACTATTATCTGAATGTCAGATTCGATTAACAGTGACAGAGAACTATTAGTTTTTAGTTCTGTTTTATCGACTAAAATTTTTGACAACTTCTAAAATAGAGTTACCCGAATCTGCCTTCCGCGATTAATGTGACCAGTGAATAAAATTCTGTTTCTTAATATTATGCCGACTGGTTAGTTACATTTACATCTTTCAAAAACATAATTAAATTCTTACTTGATGTTACTCCATATCCTCTCCACCAATTGTGGAACATCGCATCTACCCCTGTGCGCTCTTTTGAATGGAGGATTTCTGATTAACAAACCAGCCAAATTATGCCTTAATCCAGGGTCTGGATCATTTTCCAATATGTCCAAGACATGCGACAAGTCCTCCCATTTACCATCTGATCTGACAAAGTCCACTAAGCATTCCAGAGCTGCTATCCGAACATCTGCAATGACAAAATAAATTATATTATAGCTTAATACCACCAAGTATTAATACCCATTAACTATTATAAATGAGTAACTCCTGAAACTGAACCTATAGTTGTCCTTTCGATCCGTCGTGATTAATGGAAAATAAATAATAACAATAATGTTTATAGGACACAAAATCGTTATCTTACAATAAAAACACATCAACAACAATACAATTGTTCTAGGTATAAGTTTCGGCTAAATTACTAAGACTATTTTTGATATAAAACCGATTGTGCTTAGAATATTTCCCCTTAAGTTCAAATATAAATACACATAAATAATGCAGTAATGTTTTTATCTAACAACAATTTTAATCAATTAACATGAGTTGAACGTTACTCGAAGAAAATGTACGTTAAAACATAAATTAGACTAGTTATGTCTAACTGTGGCAGCTGTGATATTTATTGATTTAATTCCCAATTCCATCTTGATACAGACACATCAAAACAAACGAAGTGACGCCTGGAAGACAGATAAATAAAATATTGTCAACAGTGTCATTTATGTACTGAAGAAGGTCACCATTGTGAACGAAACGTATACTACATTAAAGGATTTCAAATACATATGATTTCATTGACCAGGCAAACATGGGGACTTGTCGAGATGAAAACCACATGACAAGTTTCAGATGTTACAAATGTAAAAAAAATGTAACAATCTTTTTACTGCCTAAACAATGTATCGTTAATATGCCAATCAAACTAAAGATTCTATTAAAATTATGTTCTTCACAAAGCATTGGTTTTTATTAATTTTGGTGCAATGCAATTTATTCTTATAAATGCAGACAAATAAATGGACTGTTTCAAAAAATTTGGAAAAGATGTTTCTCGATTTTCAATTCTATAAAATGATACTGAACATATGCAGGTTAAGCAATTTAAGCACTGGTCAGTCTAGATAGAGGGATGATATAAGCACGCAAATATAGGATATCTGATACAATTAAGTATATAGTGAAATCTACACCGCAAAGCTGGCTAGCCACTTTTTTGCACTTGTCTGCTGTCCAGAAGAGAAGCTATTTGACTGTTGCTCATTATCAACTGTCGAGTTTTGCAATTACCCTCCCTACATATCATTAATATATTCATACCAACCTATGAAATGTCCATACTGAGCATAGCTTTTGAACAAGCTGGATCTACTAGGCAGGTGTCCAAACTTTTGTAATTTTCTTATAGCCCTCAAGCATGCCACTGTCACTGTGTACTTATAGCAGGGCAGTGCCTTTTCCAAATTTAGTAGTCTTGTTATCTCTTCCAATATCATTTTTGTATCAGTACTAAGACTTTCAGCTGTTATGGGAGTACCTTGAGCCACAACTGATACTACGGGAGTTATGGTGTTTCCCAAGGCTTCCACTAAAATGGTAAAAGAAGTCATCATACCAGATTAATACCCATAACATTTTTGAAAGTGTTGACATAATTATGATTCAATAAAAATACTGGTTATTCACACTTTTCTGCTAGTTATTTCATGCCAGGGTGCCCAGATAACGGGCATACGCCGGAGATTGGCCAAATAAACAATTTGAGGTTTGAGATAAATCCAGTTATCTTTTCGCGTAGAGCCCCAAAAAGTTAAATAACTATGTGATACTTTGCAGATTTTAAGAATTATTTTTTCCGATAGAAAGGTATTTCACCAACTTCAACATTCAGCTGATTCCACTATCCTGGAACTGCGGAGAACATCCGCCACAAGTTTGATTTATAACTTGATGAAAACAGAAGTTATTTTCAAGACATACAAATTATCAGAGAGCTACTTAATCCTTAGGGCCATTTAGTACAGTTTTTAGTTCAATAACAAAAGAAATATCAGTTTTCCTTTCACCTCAAATCGCTTATTTGACCAATCTACAGTGTATTTCACATGGTTACCACTTATTTAGGCAGCCTGGTCTTAAGGATCTAACTTATCCGTGCATTATAGACGGTGTTTTTCAAGTTGTGACATTTCCTTCACATACCGTATAGTTTTTATAATAATAATAATATTTATTACACATTAGACATGTATAAAACATGTATAGGGTTCGTCAACAAACAATTGACAGTATGTATATACATAAAAAAACAGTAAAATGACAAGCAACAACAAACAATAGCTTAAATATATTAAAATGGATACCATAGGCTAACAACAGCAGATAAAATAGATAAGCTTTCCAGCAGTTAAAATTAATAAATTAACAAATACAATATAAAAATATATAAAAGGACAAACAATAAGTGGATAACAAACAATACAAAAAAAGAACATCTAAATATCCACAAAGTCACTGATGGCGTAACAAAGTCTTATTAATAAAATAGGTTCTTAACTCAGCTTTAACATTATTTGAGGAGCTAATTGTCTTAATATATTCAGGCAGCTTATTGAATATCTTTGGTCTTAAAATAGAGGGAGATCTACTACCCAGCTTACATCGAGCAAAGGGTAGATGAATGTCGCGCTGCCTACGAGTATTGAATGTATGTATATTACTATTCAAGGTGAAATTATCTCTGTTAATATACGTATATTTGCCATTTCATAAAGAAACAACGAGGGCAGTGTTAGAATTTTTAATTTCGGTAACAAGTCTCTGCAACTGTATATACTGTCAACACCTGCTATGCACCTTATTATTCTCTTTTGACTTCGAAATACCTTTGAAACATTCACCGACGAACCCCAAAAACACAATGCATACCGTCGCGAATCGACTCGATATGACTGTGATATAACATCAATAACTGGTCGCGTGTAAAAACTGTTCTCAGATTTTTAAATAGGTAGACCTGCGAGCTAAGCTTCGCAGACAGGTAGTCACAATGTCCTTTAAAACTGAGGCACTCATCCAGGTGCAGTCCCAAGAATGTTGTGCTCTCACTGATGGGCAGGACTGAATTATCCAATGTAAGCTGCAGGGGAGGTATTGATTTTTGGGCATTGTGGTTTTTTCACAGTTTAGATGCCGCTGGTTCTCCACGAACCAGCTATTGATGCTATGTAACAAGCTGTTACAGTCGTTAATTAGGGCAACGTCATCTTTATTTGATAAAATAATCGATGTGTCGTCCGCGTATAAAGTAAAGTGTGCTCTGGGGAAGGACCGCTCAAGAGTATTTACACATAATGCAAACAGAACAGGCCCCAACACAGATCCTTGTGAAACGCCAACATCCATATTTATCGCACTAGAATTGACTTGTACTAGTTGTCCTGAGCAGTTATGAGTTATTGTCACATACTGCGATGTGTTTTCTAAGAATCATTTTATCCAGAGGTAGGATGGGCCACCGATTCCATAAGTTGCCAGTTTTACTAATAACAGATCATGGTTGACACAGTCGAATGCCCTGCTTAGATCACAGAAGATACAAACAGGCCATTCTCCTGCCTCAATGTACTGAACTAGCACACTGAAGAAAGAATCAGATGCTGTTAGTGTTGACCTACCGTTGCGGAAACCATGTTGGTTGGATGTTAGTACCTCATTTCTTTCAAGGAACAGCGTCAACCGAATCAAGAATCAGTATTCGAAAATTTTTGAAAAACAACAGGGAGACGTCACCGGTCTGTAATTTTTTGCGTTAATAGTTTCTCCCTTCTTGTGTATGGGAGTTACTTCTCCGATTTTTAAGCTATCTTGAAAAGATCCACTACAGAGAGATTAATCAGAAAAACAAAGGGCCTAACAATACATACCAAAACGTTCTTAACCAGGAAATTAAGAATTTCATCAGCACCTGAGGAATGCTTGTTTTTTACTTTTTGTCGATCAAATTAAAGAATTCTTCTTCCGTAAATGGGTATAGATACATGGGTTCCCTAACCGCATCGTTGTAGTTAGGAACTGTGTCAATATTTCTGGATGTTTTCTCTATACTTTCTAGAGGAGCATTTTAATTATTTGTTAAAGTGATCGGCTATTTCTTGAGGATCAGTAATAGTTTGCCCATTTTCGTCCAGTACAAAGTTTTTTGTTGTTTTATTTTTTCCATTCAGTTCACCTACTACATTCCAGGCAGATTTAACTGTATTATGTGAGCTCAAAATAGTTTTTTGGTAATAGACCCTTTTTGTTTCCCTAATCAGTCTTTGATGCTGTTTTTTGGCCTCCAGATATTTATGCTTATTTTCGGGAAAAATCGTTGCCGGTACATGCTGTTCCCGCAAATGTGAACTAGATCTTTTAACCTCTTCACTCGCCCATACCTTTTTATTGTTTATGATTACTCGTTTTTTTGTCGAAAAATGTTTTTGGGAGTGGTAATGGAATACTTGTAAGAAATAATTGAATGCGCTGTTGATATCCGGCAGATTATACAATGTGGACCAGTTTTCATTGCTTAGGTCTAGTGCAAAATTTTGTATGGAGTTTGAGTTAAAAGCCTTCTTTAGCGTGTATGTTGTCCTATTACTACCTGCCGTATGTTCCATTATTTCCAAGAGTACTGTCACGTGATCCGATATAACGTTATCCACTACACAGTTCAAACATCTATCACCGAAATTAGTAAAAACCTTTTCAATCGTTGTGACAGAAGTCTTACCAACTCTAGAAGGCCATCCTACCTCTGGATGTAATCCAAATTCAGATAGGACGTTTATTAAATTGTCACTTTCAGCGTTATGATTGTACATTGAAATCCCCGCAAAGAACGATATTAATGTTTGGTTTGTAAATAAAATAAGGATGCTTTGCATTCCACGAGCAGAGTACTGTACTGCACAAAACTCGATGTGTTTTTCAATCGAAAATTGAGAAATATCATAAGATTTTGCCATAACATATTGTTCACAGTATACAGCTACACCACCGCCCTTGTACTGTGTTCTGCAGAAAGAACTGACCAACTGAAAATTATTTACAACAATATTATCAATCGATTCAACTGTAGACCACGTTTCAGTTAAACAGAGGAATTTCACCCCGTCATAGTCTGATAACATAACGTGTAGCTCATCAGCTTTATCAAAATTTAGACACTGAACATTTAAAAGTACTAAACTAGGCTGGAAAGCTAAGTTGATATTTGTAAATTCCTCGTTTTTTGTAAAAAACGGTTAATGCGCGTATTCTTTGGCCATATGGAAAAGTCTAGTGCTTTTTTAAAATTTGATTGTAGAATCGTTATTTTGAAAGAGGAATAAATATCAGGATGTTTCGAAGTGATACTTTCAACAGTGGCCTCCGGAAAAATGTTCTTCACCATGTTTTCCATATCAATCAGTTTAGTTTTCGGGTGAATACGGCTAACATGTAAGGATTTAGTTTTTTCGACACCTTTAACTGGACCATCAAAGGAACCATTCCCAATAACCAAGTTACGCCGGTTGTTTCTTTTGCGCATTCCTTCAACCAAATGCCAGTGACTACCACTACTACCACTTGCATCATCCTCGGCTGCATACTCAGCGGACAGCTGAGGTACCGCTGGAGCAGAGGTACAATTAGCTGACTGCGCTTGCTCGACAGCAAGTGCCATCTGCTGCCTAGTTATCGTGCTACTAGCGTTTCTAGAAACGCTTGCTGTAACTGACTGTTTTGAGATAGACGAATTCTTCATCTTTTTAGCAGATTTTGTGTGAATAACATCAGTCAGTAAGTAGATCATTCTCCTCACATGGAGATACCATATTTTGTTTGTTAATTTGGGCAATAGATGACGATGACTGCTCCAACATTTTTGAGAGTGCAGACATTTGATCAAGCAGGCTTTTTATAGTTGGCTCTTTTATGATATAATTTTTGTCAAAATGATGTTAGTTTACGGAGAGGCTTCGTGAGTGTCTTCATATAGTTAGCCGGAATGTTTCTAGGGACAAGGGTACCTTGTCTATCTGGTTTCCGGTAGCGTCCATAGAGATGGTATCTAGAGTGACGTTATTAGAATCTCGTTTGGCTATACAATATTGATTCAGGTGAGGCTCTAGTTTCACTATCTGTATACATCAGTAGATGTACAGCAACTAGAAAAATCTGTACGATAAAAATATTGACCTGATGCCGTGACTAAAGATATTATTCCACATCCCCTAGAGATTCTGTATCAAGGGAATTAACAGTGACAACAGGGGATATGCAACTTTGGCGTTATAAAGTAGCGAGTATTGGTAAATTAAAAAATTGAAAAAATACCCGGTAAATTCAAAATGTCGATACGCAAAGGCATTGTCATGACGTCACCATTCGCCACTTTTGTGACCACCCAACCCTTTGTTGATTAGTTCAGTTAAAATGAATGTGGTTTCCAAGAGGCACAGTCGGGTAATCTTCACAAAATAGATGCTTTCATGATGTCTCTATAAATTGCCCCAAACAGAGACTTTACATTTGCTGAAGTCGAAGGCGAGAAAGTTGCAAGATCAACAAGTGATAGATACAGCGGTGCTGGCGGCCCAAAGCATGAATTTAAGTAAGAAAAGCAAGATTTACAAAACAAAGTAATGAGAAAATAGTGAGAAATAGTAAGTGTAAACATAAAAAGTGAAATAATTTTCTTAGAAATGAAATATCATAATGCCAAATTTAAACTGATAATATAAATAAGAATGTATTGAAAAATGAGAATAACTCTTATAAGGTATTTGTTACTGTTCTATTGGTGTAAGCAAAATAATTATTTATATGTATGCATATTTTAAGATCAAATGCATACGATGTTTAAAAGAAACATAAAAAATATAACAAATTCTTGTAAATACGGGAGACGTACGTTTTTGTTTGTTTGTTGAAGATTTATGTAGGGTTAATGCTAAAATGTCAATTTTGTATAATTATTCGTTTACACATATTTTTTTTAATCCATTTTCTGTAATTTTACATTCTTGTCTATTGAAATTACATCACTATGCATTTTGAGTATTCATAAAGTGATTTTTTAATTTCACCTTGAACATTTTTAAATTCGAACACTGTTTAATATCATTATTCAATTTATTAAATTCAAATACTCCTTTTTGAAATACAGATTTGCTAGTTATGCTACTATTACAATATTGCAGATGAAAATGTATACTGCCTCTAGTTTCGTAGTTTCGATAATGACTATTCAATTTTGTGAAGTTTTCTAAATGTGGTGGTGATAAATGATTTTTTAATATGAAAATGACAACTCAATAACATATGAAATTTTTCACATTCAACCACTGTAGTTCTTCTAACATAGACTAGTCTAATAAGTATACATACATTTTAGCGAATTATCTAATGTTAAAAAGTTGAAATTAGTTATTATAAATAAGTATCTTTTACACAATAGTTGACTAACTGAATCATCAGACCGTAATAATAGAATATTTGTCATTGGGAGTCAAACGAGGCTCTATTCAACGGGTTCCCATGGCCACTTCCTGGCTTCATCATCAGATCATCTCCATGTCTTAGTAATATTGCATTGTCAACTATCATATTAAACGTCCGTCATTTTGTATTAGAATGACGTCACTTCGCTTATTGTGTTTCTTTCTTCAATCTCTTTTATTTGATATCAATAATATGGAGGTGACTATAATTATAAATATATATTGGATCTAGACTCACGTCAAGTTGCTGTATCTCTCTCGACAAGCCCTTCCAGTCGATAACCGTAACATAGGGGTAGCTATAGAAAGTACCTATTTGATTTGAAATGACACTGCTCTCAAGCCTCTTCATCTGATGCCCAAATTATAGGGGTGACTACGGAAAATTTAAATCACCAAATTGCGGCCTCCGTCATATTGGATTTAGAATGATCTCAGTTTGCTTATTGTGTTTCTCTCATCAAGCTCTTTCATTTGATAACTATATCATATACTGTGGAAATGATAATCACCATTATGTAGGATACAAAATTTCCGCTCAACTAGTTGAAAATTCAGTTTCAGGATACTAAAGGTAATTTGTCACGATATGAAATTTGGTGCTAAATTTCATGTCGTGTAATCATGTAATACCCTGTACTTATCAACTTTGTCATAGTTAATTTATATAAAAAAATCTCTTCATTTAATTTCAGGGTGCTGGAGAGGAGTACAGCTCCTTCGAAAACGTTCATAAACTATAATATGTACAGTGAGAGCGAAAATAATGAGAAAAACGAATATTTTCAATGGAAAGTCAGAAAAAGTGAGTCACCAGCATCCCTGAAGATATCTTATTTATACTAGTTTCCAGCTTTTCAATGTAATTTGTAGTAATAAAAATAACCTGTAAATACTTTGAGGTCGCACAAACAAATGGTATGTCAAAAACTCAACAACAAGAAAAAATCAAATGAGGGGCAGTGACGTCACAGCGAAGCGCGCCTAATATGCCTTGACACTACAGGTTTAATTATTTAATTGAAAATAGATATTTCCATGAATGAAATATATGTTTAGTATTATATTAACATTTATAATCGGCTCCAAATACAAGAAAAGAACATGCATATTCCCTATCTCGGTATTTATAAGTATTACACGATTCTTATCATAGAATGGTGCTTCCATCAGACATATTTTCCGCTTTTCCACATTGTTTCGAGCGTAGTTATTCCTGAAAAGGAGGTCTAAGCTTTCCGAACAGCCTGCAATATTTTGAGCGGTATTAAAATGGACATGAACAAAAGCTTAACAAGAAATTTTTTAAAAGAAAAAAAAATCAAGTTAGTTGACTCTGTACTTCCTACGCTACACTGTCATCTGTTCGTAAAGGATTATAGCCCACATAAACATACCAATGACAAAAAAATGAGATACCCCGATTTTTAACCCCTAAAACTTTTACAAAAATGGTTATAATCATTCGATACGTCAAAAAACGAAATCCCGGTCCTGGTCCTCGCCACCAGCATCTAGCGGGGATACACTGGAGACCCGGCTGACAATGCGAACTAGCATACAAGTTTCAATAGTCAGCTTACTGTTTTCACTTTCGCAATATTCGATTCTGGTGATAGATGGCACATTGTGCTGTCTTGTTTCGTTAGACCTTATATTCTGAATAGAGCAGAGTTGCTCAGTTTTCGTTCGTTGTCGACCAAGACTAAGCCTTCACCATGCTGAAGAGTTGCCAAATAGCACAAAACAACTGTCCATGGTTAGCCGTCTGTGGTCGGACCAACGAAAGAGCTATATTACTAGTTTATTTGTATCATGCTGCAAACATGTATTGGATTTTACCTAATGCAGCTCTATAGTAGTTATCTGAATTCCTGTTTTTCGAGTTATCATTGTACTTGAACAGGTCCAAAAGAAACCGTATGACCTCATGAGGACATATTCCATGTGCATTTCGGAGTCCAGCCATTGCCAATGGTATGGTCTTTTGGAGAAAATAATGTTGGAAATTTTGGAAACTATTCTGACGAATGATGTGTGGAGCAGCAAAGGAGCCAAAAAACTTCCTAAAGATTGCTAACATGGCAGGCGGTCCAGCCCAGTTTGTAACCATTGCATTTGCTACCTAAAAATAAGATCCAGTAGTTAAATAACGATGATGATGACAAATGAGAAAAATATTGCACAATTTAAATCTCTCACCGAAAGTTCCCAGGTTGTCTAATTCATGAATTACTTTAAATCAAAGTAAATCGAAGTGTTGAGAGATTGTTTAATAAGTACTATTTACAAGTAAACCTATAGACCTACCTTTGTTAAGCAATGTGCAGCTCTACATCTCACTTTATGATAGCACTGTTCATTTTCAATTGTATCTGTAAGAGCCAGTCGCGTAGCTGGCGTAGGGAACCTCTCTAAAGCCTCAATGGCGTCCACTTGAGCGGTAACGTCTCGTTCGTGTCGCAACTGGTACTGCCACTGATAATCTGGTTGCTCTATTACTACTGACCTCAAAAGTGTCATTTCTGGGTCCAACCGGATCCACAATACTGGAGAATCACTAAAAAAAAGGATGTAATAATAATAATGTTTACCCGTTAATATACCATCACCATGAAATACCCAAAAAAGTGTGAATTTGTGCTGGGACATGAGATAATAAATGAAATATTTTAAAATACAAAAGATTTTATGTTTCATGTATGAATTTACATATCTTGGTTGATAAGAATTTAGTTCAACGTACTGGTTTTTGATGTTTATAAGTTTATGTATAAATTGTCTTGGCTGACTTAGAATCCACGACTTTGATTCAATTTTGGTACGTTTTTACTTTCTACGCCACTGAGCGAGGAAGTATTTGGATTCGTGAAATATTTGGAAAATGAGATATCATGTTTTTGGATGTTATATGGCATGTTCATCACAAAAATCCATGTCACTCATTTTGGCCTGTCTGTCCACTAATCTTATAACCGGGTATACCTTAATAAGTACCGCTCATTTTTGAAGTTTTTTAAAATCGTCCAATGGCGGCAGGGAAAAAGGCCAAAAACTAAGAAAATTAAAATCGCTCAAACTTCGTTTTTTGACGTTTCAGAGAAGAAGCTTCTGATCTAAATTATATAATTGGATATAACTTTCAATCGGCCTTGCGTGCCCTACGCGATATTGCGACGCTGCATCGTCGTGTAGGCCACTGTCGACTGTAACGAGAGTAATAAATAGGTAACTAACACGAACTCGATGTCGACACGGACCGGACGGGGAATATTTATATATTTTAGGAATATTAGGGTTTTAGGAGTACGTACGCATTTAGCGTGCTGCGCTGCTTTTGTAAATGACGACTTAATTGTTTTTATATCTACAGATATACAGGGTGACTTCGAAGTTGAGTCATTTATTTTAACAGTGAGTAGATCTGATCAAAAGAAATGTTTTTTTCCTTTACCATTTTTCTGGTAAAATTAAAGTAACAAAGTTATAGCCCTTTGGAAGTTTGAGTACCGCCCTGTCTCAATCATAATATTATGTGCTCGTGTTTGGCAACAACGGATATAATCCGCCTTATCGGTTCATCGCATCGGAAACAAAAAAGCGAAAGAATTTGGAACGATGTTTTTACAATTATTTTATTCCGTTGTATACAGTCGATGTCAGTCGGTAACGCGTGAGTGAATAGTGGTGTCTGTTGCGTGGCTCAAACGAAATAAAAAATGGCACATGTTTATGCGGATCGGTTTCCCAATCGAGTGCAACCAACCCCTCGTGCCTTTGTTAATGTAGTCCAACGGGCTCGTGAATCAGGTGACTTAAGACCTCACAGGCGACGGCATGCCGGTGCTCCAAGACCTCACGATCAAATACAGGTCCGCACTGAAATACTTGTCGGGACGATACTTTATAAAACAAGGTAAATTTTTATTTTTATTTTTACACACATATTTTGGTTTATCTTCCTTCTACAATCATTATCTGAAAATTAATGACTCAACTTCAAAGTCACCCTGAATTTTTCTGAATTTTATGATCCTTAAATGTACCCGCCCTTTCCGCCTAACCTTTAATTTGTGTTACTCAGTGTATGATGGTTCTCTCAATACTTCGCCAAGTAGGTTGACTCAGTACTTATTACTTATATTGATATACAACAGACGCGGAATAACAAACCGACATAAATGAGGAAGACGAACTTGCCTGATGCAGATATCTTTAAGCAACAGAAGATTTGTGAATTGAAGTTCAAATATTACGATTACCTTACCTACCTAAAAAACCCCAATCATTATCTGAATACATAATAGCCATGTCATCTGCATAACCAATAATTTTTCTATCATTATTTAATTTAGAAAGATCATTAACATATAGATTATATAAAACTGGCCCTAAGACAGTTCCTTGTGGAACTCCATACCTAGCTGTTAGGTTTTCACTTAGTGAGTTATTGATATTTACACATGTTCTATTTTTTAAATTACTGTCCATAAGCTTTTCCTCGAAATCCCAGATTTTCTTAAGTAGGAGTTTTTCATGAGTGATGCTATCAAATACATTGATTAAATCTATAAAAATGCAGTGCGGATGGGGTATTATCAATGTACTTATAAATTGTGGTAGTCAGTCTTGAGTAGATTTTCCCTGTTGAAATAGCGTACTTTTAAAATATCTAAATAGCGCCCAAACTGACAAATTGATGTTTCTTGTTTGAAGAGTAACTAGAAAATCCGTTCAGCCTTCGAAGTCAAGGATCTTTTAAATTCTCAACTTATCCTTACTTGTGGTTGTATTGAATTATGTGAAAACTATGTAAGAAAATGTAATTTAACTGGAACGCTCAAACTGAACATTAAGTATAGGTATTTATACTTACTCTTTAGTAAAGCTTTTTATGCAATAGTCGAGAGGTTTATATCACTAATTTTACCTTCCACGCCGACTGGTGAAAGAAGTATTGTAATCGCGAAATTCGAAAATGAGAAATTGTTTTTGGATGGTATATGACATGTACATCACGAAAATACATGTCTGTTATTTCCTTGGGTCTGTCTGTCTATCCGCTAATCCTTGGCCCGTCTGTAACTTGGAAAGTATCGCTCGGCTTTTGATGAAATTTTCATAGAAGGTAACTACTGTGCCAAGGACGTAAAAACTTTATAGTTTTTGAAAATCGGCGTGAAGAGCAAAAAATAAAACAAAATAAGAATCGCTCAAATTTCATTTTTTTACGTTTCAGAAGTACCTGATCATTTTCAAAAATGTTTTTGTAGGAGTTAAATATGAGGGATTGAGAGTTGTAGAGGTGGGGAAGGGTATATCTCATTTTTTTATGCTGGTATATTAATACATTTCGAACCCTGGTAATTCTACATAATTATTATACATATCGTAGATTTTCCTGTATACATATTTGCCATTAAAACTTAGAGAAATATATACAGGGCGTCCCGAAAAAAGTGTGCAATATTCTACCAGCGGTTTCTAGAGCTAAAATAGGAAGAAAAGTTTATATAAACATAGGTCGACAAACGTCCCTTAAGAGCGCTACGGTCTTTTAAAGGGGCTCCCCTGAAGATGGTTTTTCCTTAATATTTCCGAAACGTGTTGAGATAAAGACATAAAATTTGGTATTCTAGCCTTGTTTTTCATGCTGGATTAAAAATATTAATTTTAGACAGTTTAGTTTGGAAGCGTATGTAAAAGGGACGGACTCAGGTTATTTTAGCCCCAAAATTTTTGCGTGATTCTATTTTTGAAATTCAATTTTAGAATTTGAATATTTAGGGTTTTCTACATAAAAAGGTACTCTTATTGAATATCGATAAATTATGCCATTTTAAAATAAAATCGAACTAAAAAATTTGTCACATGATAGGAAATGCGAATTTAAATGAATTGTTGATTATACATAGTTAGCCATGACTGCAAACAAAAGTTGTTTTGATTTGTTATGACTTATTTTGACGTTGAGGTGACATTGTTAGCAGTGTAAAATTACTAGATTAAAATCAAAACTTTTATTAAATCGATTTAAAATGCCAAGATTTACAGACAGAGAACTGACTGACATGCATTTTGTGTACGGGTTTTGCAATGGCAGCCGTAAAAGAATATCAAAGAAGATTTCCCAATCGCATAGTACCTGGACGTCGAATGTTTACTGATATTCACCGGAATTTGTCAAACCATGGAAGTTTTCAGCGCATGCAGGGCTCAGAAAGGCCACTGGGAAATCATCGTATGGATATTGCTTTAAATATGTTTGAAAATAATCCGCAAATAAGCATACGAAATTTTTTAGAAATTATGGATATACCTCGATCAATAGTAAGAAAAATTTATGAATACCTATTTGATAATTATCCTAAAAATAATAATTTTAGGAAGAATGACAAGAATGCAAGGATTACATCCTTATCATTTTAAACAGGTGCAGATTTTTTACCACGAATCGAGTTTGCCAGTGGTCGGATGAGTCAATATTTACTAGGAATGGTGCTTTTAATTTCCATAACATGCATCACTGGTCAGATGAAAATCCAAAAGTTGTTCGCCGTACAAATTTCCAACATAGATTTTGATTGAACTTATGGGCAGGAGTAATTGGGGATCAAGTAATTGGGCCTATTGTACTTCCCAATCGTCTTAATTCAGAGGTGTATCTGAACTTTCTTCAGAATGAGCTCATGAATATAATACCATTGGATGTGCGCCAGCAGTTTCAAGAAAATATGTTTTTTCAACATGATGGCGCCCCTGCACATTTTGGACGCAATGTTCGAATTTGGTTGAATGTCAATTTTCCAGACAGGTGGTTAGGCCCTATAGCGTGGCCGCCACGTTCACCTGACCTAAATCCGTTGGATTTCTATTTTTGGGGGCCATTAAAGGACCTAGTTTACTCGACTGAAGTAAATACTCAAGAAGATTTACTTCAAAGTATCCATCAGGCTGCAAATGAAATAAGAAGAAACAGGTTTTCCACTTTTCGGGCTACCTACACAATCATTAGTTCGTCGAGCGAGACTATGTATCCAACAAAATGGGAATTTATCTGAACACTTATTGTAAAGCTAGTTTTAAGTATATCCAACTGTATGTCTTCTTTTTTAAACAAATTTCAATTTCGTTCGTAGAAAAAATTAATTTCTTTTGTTTTTGCCTAAATGTTAGCTATGTTGCAATACAAATATGTATTTATGTACTATTTATCATTTATTAAATTAGGTTTTTCGTTGCCATGGCTAATTATTCAACAATTCATTTAAATTCGCAGTACATTTCCTATCATGTGACAAATTTCTTAGTTTGATTTTATTCAAAAATTACACAATTTATCGATACCTATTCAATAAGAGTACCTTTTTATGTAGAAAACCCTAGATTTTCAAATTCTAAAATTGAATTTCAAAAATAGAATCACACAAAAATTATAGAGCTAAAATAACCTGAGTCCGTCCCTGTTACATACGCTTTCAAACAGAGCTGTCTAAAATTGTTAATATTTTTAAATCCAGCATAAAAAACTAGGCTAGGATACCAAATTTTATGTCTTTA